ATTACAGCAACACTCAAGCCTCCACAATATGACAAAGTGACAGATGACTGGTGGATACAACAAATACACTCATTTTAATCATAATTAGATGAGTTTTGACAAAAGTAACCACCACACTTCCAGTACTCCAAAAAGTTCCTTTCTGCCCCTGTCACCACCCTTCTCAGTAATTTGATTACTGCTCTATGTCATTTTCTTCTGTTCTAGAGCTTCATATAAATGGAATCATGTAGTAAAAACAGATTTATGAGGTATCATTGGCATGCCATAAAATTAAAAAGCTTTAAGTGGATGGTTCACTGGTTGCAGGGTGACATGTCTGAACATCATCCATATTGTTGCTGATTGTTTTTATTGTTGAGTAGTTTTCTTTTAAGGAGCTCTGGTAGCGTAGTGGTTACGAATCGGGCTGCTAAGATCATGGTCAGCAGTTCGAAACTACTAGCTGTTCTGCGGGAGAAAGCTGAGGCTTTCTGCTCCTGTAAAGATTTACAGCCTCGGAAACCCTATCCAGGGTCGCTATGAGTTGGAACTGACTCCATGGCACATAACAACAACAACAGTTTTCTTTTGTCTTGTTTTATATTCTGTTGCATGCACTTTGTTTATACATGGACATGCGATGGACATTTAGGTTCTTTCCGGTTTTTGACTATTACAAATCGAAACAACTCTTATGAGTGTTCACATGCAAGTTAATATGTGATGCACCTTTTAATTTCTCTTGGGTAAATACCTAAGAATTTCTGGGTTATGTGAGATCATGTGCATTTGACTTCATGAGAGATTGTCAAATACTTCTCTAATCTATTGCCTTTCCCCAACACTAAGATTGGATTGTTGTAATTATTTGTAAGAATTCTTTATATATTCTAGCGTTTTGTTTTTGTTAAGTGCCATTGAGTTGATTCTGACTTACAGCGTTCCTGTATAGGGTTTCTGAGTAGCAGCCGATGGGTTTGAACTGCTGACCTTTTGGTTCACAGTCTAGTGCTGATCGATCCTACAGCGCCACACCAGGAGTCCACATTCTAGCTATCAGTCCATTATTTGATATATGTGGCTTTTATTTCTTCTTTCGTTTTTGTAGTAGTATTTTTAAAAAGCAGGTTTCCATTTCAATGAACTCCAAATTTTTTTTTTTTTATGTTTAGTATTATTTGTGAATTGTCAAAACTGCCAAAAACAGATGAAAATTTTCTTGTGTATCCTTTTATAGAAGTTTTATACTTTCACATCTGTGTTCCATGGTGAGATTATTTTTGTGTGTTTTACGAAATGAGGGTTGAGGTGAATATTTTTCATATGAATACCCATTTTTTTTTCCAGAATATTTGTTCCATTGAAGTACCTTGGCACTTCTGTTGCAGATTACTTGACCATATACAGATGTGTGAATTTCTTCATTCTGTATAGGGTTCCTGAGGAGTGGCTGGTGGGTTCCAACCAACCTTTTTGTCCAATGCATTATCCTGCAGTTCATATCAGGACTCCTGATGTGTATATTGTGGTGGTGGTGGTTATGTGCCATGGAGTCGGTTCTGACTCAGCACTCCTGTACAGGGTTTCCGAGGGTGTAAATCTTTATGGGATTTACAGACAGTGTCATCTTTCTCCTTCGAAACTACTGGTAATTTTGAACTGCTGACCATGAGATTAACAGCCCGACTCTTAGCCACTATGCTACGAGATCCCTTTCATGTATATGTAATTTTATGAAATACCATCTTGTCTTGATTACTACTATTACATTGAATCTATAGATCATTTATGTGGAGAATTGACATCTTAAAAATACTGAGTCTTTGGATCTTTCAATATGGTATGTTCCTTTTTGTTGCTTTTTAAAAAATTTTTATTCAAACTAAAAGAAAAGTTGCTAGAAGAATTCAAGGAACTCCCATATGGTCTTTTATCCAGATTCACTAAAATAGTTTACATTTGTCTCTCTTTCTTTCTATACTTGAGTGGCAGGCTTCAAAAAGTTCACACACACACAAAAAAATGGTATTAAAAGATAATGAATTTTTCCATGAACTTTTTGAAGCCCCCCTCATACATATTCATATATATGCATGATTATTTTCTTAACCATCTGGAAGTAAATGAAGACATTGTGTCTCTTTACCCCTTTATATATGAGTATGTATTTTCTAAAAACAAAGACATTCCTGTAGATAACCACAGTAAAATATTAAAATCAGGAAATTTCATATTTGTGCAAATTTCATAATCACATTTCATCCAATATCCCAGGAGTTCCTCTATATCTGTCTTTTTATTCTTGGTCCAGGATCTGCTCTAGGATCATGTATTACATTTATTTGTCATGGTTCTTTAGTATCATTTCATCTGAAATAGTTTCTTAGCCTATCTGTATATTTCTTGATTTTGATACTCCTTTTGTTTTTTAAACTTTTTTTTGTGAACTGAGTGAAAGTTTACAGAGAAGATCATCAGTTTTACATTCAACAAATCATACACTTTGTTTCATCTCAGTGATTGCAACAATAGTTGGCCCACTTCCTTCCTGTGGTTCTTATTTCCATTCCAGCCTCCTTCCTGTCCCTTCTCAATTTTGTCCTTAGTTGAATATTGCCCTTTTGATCTTGAATGGCTCGCCATACCTAACCAGACTTGTTGTCCCCTCTATATTACCTATCTGCTGCTTGGCTGAAAATTGGTCCACGAGAGTGAGTTCCTTTCCAGACCTGAAGGGTGGTCAAGGGCTGTAGTCTGAGGTTCCTCCAGTCTTTATTCTGACCATTAAGTCTGGTTTTTTAAAAATAAATTTGAGTTTTGTTCTACATTTTCTCCCACTCTATTTGGGAACTTTGAATACGATCCCTTTCAGAGCAGTTGGTAGTGGTAGCCAGGCACCCTCTAGTTTTTCTGCTCGTGGAGACTGATGTTCACATGCTCCATTGGTCCACTGGACTAGTTGGTTCCAAGCGTCTTTAATTTCCGTCGTTCTTCCTTCCATGTATGGAGAGACAATAGTCGCACATTAGATGGCCACTTTTGAGCATTTAAGGTACCATATGCTACTCACCAAATTAGGTTGTAGAACATTGTCTTCGTGGACTGTGTTATGCTAAGTGACCATGGTGTCCAGTGAGACAATGGTCCTGAACCTCCAGGCCTAGAAACTGGTTGCCATAAGATATTTGATAATATCTACGATGTTTTCCTCATTTCGTCTGCTATATGATTCACCACATTCATAGGTGTGTTTGCAGCAAAGGTAAATGCCCTTGTACAAATGTTCCCTTTCAAACCCTGATATATTTGTGGATATATGCCCACTCTTTCTCCCATACCCGTTCTGCCTGCGTATCTGTCCATATATTTGCCCACAGAACCCTTTGGTTCCAGGGTTGTGTATATAACACTATTTAGCTTTGACCCCTTTAACTCTTGCATTCCTCCTTGTGTCTTCACCTGTTCACCGTGGGTAACCCTGCTGGCCGTTAAAACACCCGTGGCATAGCTTCCAGAATCACAGCAACTTCCAAGCCACCACAGTACGACACACTGACAGTTGAGTTGCCTGTGATTAAGAGAGGTTGAGTTCTTCTTTCTGACTTTTGTTGTTGTTGTTAAGTGCCGTGGAGTCGGTTCCGACTCATAGCGACCCTGCACAGGGTTTCCGAGGCTATAAATCTTTACGGGAGCAGACCACCTCATCTTTCTCCCGCGGAACTGCTGGTAGTTTCGAACTGTTGACCTTGCGGTTTGCAGCCCGATTCGTAACCACTACGCTACCAGAGCTCCTTTCTGACTTTAACATGGTTTATTTCTTTGACCTTCCTTTTTTCACGGGCTAGCAGTGCTGAGTAGATGTGGTGAGAATGGACATCCTTTGCTTGTTCCTGACCTTAGGGGGAACACTTAAAATCTTTCACCATTAAATGATAGCAGTAGGTGGTTTCTGTTTTCCTTTTTAAGGAATTGGTTTACTTCATCTAAGTTGTCAGGATATTGATGTGAAGTTATTCAAAAGCTTTTTGTCATTTTTTAGTATCTACAAATTCTATAGCAATGTGCCCACATTCTTGATATTGTGATTTTGTTCTCTTGTTTTGGCACCTTAGGATAAGCACTTGACCTCAAGGTCAGTTTGAACTGTAAGGTTGGCTGTTCAAACTCACCAGCTGCTTCTCAGAAACCCTATTGCAGGGCCCCTAGGAGTTGGAACCTACCCAATGGCACTTAACAACAAGAGTGGCTAAGAGTCAGAACCAACTCGATGGCACTTAATAACAGCAAATATATAACTAGAAGTTTATCAGTACCATTGATCTTTTAAAATTGCCAGTGATTGACTTATCTGTATTGTTTATCTGTATTCTACATAAATTATTTCAGTTCTTTTGTGTATTTTTTTAATATACACTAATTCTATTTTCTCCTCCTTTTAAAGTTTGTTTGCTTTTCTTTTTATAGCTTCTATGGTGGAGTTTTTGTCATTGATTTTAAATCTTTATTCTTTTCTAAAATAAATATTTAATGCAATACCTTTTTCTCTGAGCACTGTTTAAGTGCACCCTATGAATTTAATATGTTCTCTTTTCTTTATCATTTAGATAAATACATTTTCTATTAACATCTTTGTGATTTCTTATGTGACTTATGGTTCATTTAAAAGTACATTTTAAAAGTTCCAAATATTTGAGAAGTTTTCCATTCGCTTTTTGTTAACTGATTTTTAGATTTAATTCGATGGTAATCCTAGAGCATACATTCTGTGACTTCAGTGATTTTACATGTACTGAAGCCTGTATTATGGGCCAGACAGAACATATGCAGATCAGTCATGAAGTACAACACTGTCTGTGATAGGCTAATATCCATGCGCCTACAGGGAAGACCAGTTAATGCCACTATTATTCAATTATTATGCACCAACCACTAAAAGCCATTGAGGATGAAATAGAAGAATTCTACCAATTTCTTCAATCTGAAATTGATCAAACATGCAATTTCCCTTCGTTTTTCAGGTGAGAGATCAAGCTCAGCGTGGTTCCCGTGTTCTTCTGGATATTGAAGCTGGGGCCCCTGTTCTCCTTATCCCAGAAAGTTCCAGGTCAAATAATCTGATTGTCGCCAATTTGGGGAAGTTGAAAGTCAAGAACAAGTTTCTCTTTGCAGGTTTTCCTGGGACCTTTTCTTTGCAAGATAAGGTGAGCAATCTATATCCATTTCCTTTTCAGTTCAACTAATATTTGACAACATTTGAAAAATTTGCATGATACCATCATATGATCTTTAACATCATGTGCAGTTACTTTGTAGCTTATGGGGCTTGAAGGATATGTTTTACACTTTATTGACATATGATGGGCCTACAGTAGAAGTTGTATAAGTTATAACACTTTCTAATAATTTACAAACAAATCAATGAAAGCAAAGCTTTCTGTCTTTTATAATGCTTTCCTTACAGGCTGACTTGTAATGTCAGTATTTTTGCTCTGTGTGTTTGTTTCCTCAAGGTACATAATTTGGCTTAGTTATATGAATAATTTAAATAATTGAAGTTATTTAAATAATCTGATGGGTTTTAAAAGTATCTTAATTATAGTATCTTACACAGTTTAAAATTATTTTAGCATCTATTTATTTCCTACAACAATGTTCAGAGGAAATCGGGATAAAGAGAGTTATTTTCATTTTACACATGGGTACACTATGATTCATCAAGACTGTGAGAATTTAAAATGGAAACATCTAGCAAATCACAGATTCCTAGAGCTGAGAGGACCTTGGAGATGGTATAAATAATCCACTGTTCAGTCAGTTTTGCAGCTGAAGAAAATAGGTGGCTTTCCTGGAACTCTAAAGATGAGGTCTTGTTCTTGATGTGTGTGTTTTCATTACCTCTTGCTGGTTTCATTCTGTGAAAGTTCGTTTTGGCATATTTACACATTACACATTTACTGAATTTACATATTACACATTTACTGAATTTCCTTACTGCTTGTGCTCCTTTTTAGTCTGACAGCTAGTAAGTAGGGAAATAGCTTGTCTTTGATACGGGACATGTGCCTAAAATTTGCTTGTAAGATATTAGGACAGAAAATACCTATAAATAGTAGCTATTTGATCAGTAGTCCCAGGAGAAGGACATCATGCTTGGAAAAGTGTTGGTCCAAGATGGACTGACACGGTATCAGCGACAATTACAGGATGGTGCAGGACTGGGCAGTGTTTTGTGCTGTTGTGCATAGTGTTGCTCTGAGTTGGAGCTGACTTGATCCAACTAATAACAACACATTTGTTGAATACTTACTACGTCATACTGTACTAAACTCTTTTCTTTTTTTTTTTCACCCTCTAATGAACAACCTAAAAGTTATCTAGCATTAATAACAAGATTTTTCCTAATAAAGAAATTGAGACTTAGAAAGATAAAGTAACTTTCTTTGGATCATATAGCTAGTAAGGAGAGTAAGTATGGACCTCAGACTTTGACGTGTCTTAACTGAAGAGCTCTGGGCTCTTAACCCTTATATGATTCTACTGTTTTATAGTATGCTTCGGTTTTTGTGAGAGAAGTAAACTGGCAAAGGCCATTCCTGGTATACATCTGACTGACTGACGCTTTCCTGAGTAGCTGCGGTTGGGCAATGAGTTCCTTGAAATAACTTAGATAGAAGAAGTCCAAGGGTTATTACAGAAAAACAGGTTTGAGCTGTAATTCTTGGCCTCTCCAGTCAAATAAGAAAATGAAAGTTAGAGACTAGGATATGGTAGTCTCACTAGGACTTTGCCAGTGGCTTCAACTATATTCAGAAAATAACAGGAAGATTCTCTCTCTTTATTAGTCACTCCCAACCCAGTAATGCTACTATTTTCAAATTTATTATCTCCATATTTTTCTTCTTTTGTTTTACCTCTCACTCATCCATTTACTCATTATTACTAACTTAATAAACACCATCAACCAAAACCATTGGATTCAGTGAGTGCAAACGTAGGCAGGAAGAAGAGTGAAGAAAAGGCAGTGAGAATCACCTGACACGTGTTCGTGTGTCATAACCTGGTATTTAGGTGAAGGGTTAGAGGACAGGCTGTTTATATCAATGTCGTGTACAGATGTTTAAGTAAAGCAGAGTGATTGACCCTAAAAAGCCATGATTAGCAATGTAGAAAGAAGAGCACAGAGTTATAGCTCCAGATAGAGTTGATGATTGAGAACTTGCTTGTTTGCCTTATAGTTTATACTGCGGGGGGCTTCGCAGTGGATTTATTGTTTATTGTTGGAATAATGATGAAGTCTTGGTGTGGTGCTGTGGGTTAATACACTGGACTGCAAAGTCGGTTTGAACCATGAAGTCAGTGGTTCAGGCTCACCAGCTGCTCCTTGGACACCCTGTATAGTGTGCTATGGGTCAGAACTGACTCAACGGCACTTCACAACAATAAAAAATCCGAGGCTGCTTTAATAGATGGAAGCAGTAGGCTTCCACTGATGTTTATAGTTTTAAGACAGAAATAATAAGATCAACCACCACTGGTTTTTCACAGTAGACCAGGCAGCACACTAATAACCTTAGTCATCATGAAGAAAATCAGTTTTCATCCATTTACTCATTATTGCTAACCTAAATATCATCACAAAAACCATTTGATTCACAGCCTACATTACTCTCAATGGAGAGAAACTGAAAGCCTTCCCTCTGCGAACAGGAACCAGACAAGAATGCCCTTTGTCACCACTGCTATTCAACATTGTGCTGGAAGCCTTAGCAAGAGCTATACGGCAAGACAGGGAAATTAAAGGCATCGAAATTGGCAAAGAGGAAGTAAAACTCTCCCTATTTGCAGATGATATGATATAGAAAACCCCAAAGACTCAGTAAAAAGGCTATTAGACCTCATTGGAAGATTCAGCAAAGTGGCAGGATATAAGATCAACATATAAAACTCAGTTGGATTTCTCAATACTAAAAATGACAGCATTGAAAAGGACATTAGGAAAGCAATACCATTTA